GAGGAGAACCAGGATTGAGTAGTGGTGTGGAGATAACCCTCCTCCCTCCCTCCCTTTCCCCCTCCCTCCTCCCCTCCTCCCTTCCTTCCCTCCTCCTTTCCCTCCCTCTCCCCTCTCTAATCCAATGTGGGTGGAAGTGAAACCTCTCAAGCTACTTTGTTTACCTGGGGTGGTCATGGGTCGTGCAGGAGGCTGATGGGGTATGGTCTCAGGCCTGGAGGAGGGACTGTTTGACTCTGGCTCTCGTCTTGGGGTGTGTGTGTGTGGGCGTGTGTGTGTGGTGTGTGTGTGTGTGTGTGTGTGTGTGGTGTGTGTGTGTGTGTGTGGAGAACGTGTACGATAATATGATATTCACCATTTTTTTCCTTTAATAATTTTATTGTGCGTTGTCCACTCATGACCAGATGGGCAGTGTTGATTGTAAGCAGTGAAAAGGAGAAAGGGACAGGGGCTTTAGGAGGGGGAAGGGTGTACAAATCCGAGGATAACGTTGTATTAAATGGATAAATGATATGCACCGAGAGGGGAGAGAGGGGCGCGGTGTTCACAGCACTCTATTATGTTATGAATAATTTACCGGTGCAGTCATCCGCCTCGCCGCCACAACACACACTCTTACTGTACCGCCATCACTGTTTAACGTCATTATATATTATTTTTATCCAATCACTGTTTTATTTAATTACACGTGTTAATATATATAGTGGTGGTGTGTGTGTGTGTGTTTTAAAGGTTAGTTCACAGTTTTATAATAATGTGTGCTATAGAAACATATTAAAATCGTCTCCTTTACACACACACACACACACACATTATTATACCGATTCTAGACCCATAAACTAGTGGTGACTTAAAAATTAACACACACACACAAGTCAAGTGTACTTATGACCCCCCCCTCCCTCCTTAGCCTCCAACCCCACAGTGTACTCACCCACCACACCACACCCACCCCACCCACCCACCACACCCACCCATCTGTCCTTGTCATCCAGTATACATTGACTTATGAAGACCCAAAATATATGCTGTTTTTGGTTTGATTATAAACAAATTTTATAATGAAAAAAAACATATCAGTGTATTGTAGTTTATAATGTGTGATGAACTATAAATGAATTGATATAAAGTACATATGTGTGTGTTTAAAGTCACATATGTGTGTGTGTTTAAAGTACATATGTGTGTGTGTATAAAGTACATGTGTCTGTATTTCGTCTGTAGTGGTGATGTACAGCAACCAGCACCGTCGATGGACAGAGGGGACACTCGGGCAGGATGGGGTGAGTTGAGTTGAGAGGAGTTAAGTGGGGTGAGGATTTGGGAAGGGGTTGAAGGGTGAGTGGAAGTTTGGGAATTGGGATGAGTGGGGGTTGAGATGAAGGTAGTGAGTTGAAATCACTTGTATGACCGGCGACCTTCTGGTAATCGATAATGGGGTAATTGAAAATAGACAGAGAGATGGTGACATTCCTGGGTGATGAGAGGGAGGGAGGATGGGAGGAGTTGGGAAAGGGTGTAGGAGTTATGGAACAGAAGGTGTAGGGTGAGGAGGCAGATTATGGAACAGAAGGGTGGTTGGGTAGGGTGATGGAACAGAGGGGTAGTTGGGGAGGGTAGGGAGGGGTGATGGAACAGAATGGTGGCTGGGAAGGGAGGAAGGGAAGGGAGGAGGGCGAAGTGCTGTGAGGGGTTCACGGTTAGATGAACGGACGGACGCCATTTGGCTAATCCCTGGTAGAACTCAGGATCACTTCCACCCTCTTTTTTTTGTTATTTTACGACATAAACGTGGAGGTGTCTGGGGAGGAGAGGTGGGGGTAGGTGGGGGTCTGTAAAATCTTCATCATCTCTACTCTTTCCCTAGGTGGGGAGGAGGTCAGAGTGGGTGGGTCAAGTAGTATTGGATCAACATTAGGTGGGTTATATGAAAGTGGGGGTGGGTTAAAGGGCTTATAAAACATAGGGTGGGCCAGGGTAGCGGTGGGTCACGGTGCATTTTTGGTGTAATGGGATAGAGGTGGGTCAGTGGGGTGTAAGAGGGGGTTGAAGTGGATTAGATGATGGGTCAGGGTGTCATATTGGTGTAAGAATGAGATTGGTAGTGGTGGGGTTAACTAGGGGGATACTGTGTGTGTGGGGAGGAGGCAGCCGTTGTAACAGAGGGTCAGTGAAGCGAGCGTGGATAATGTAGAGTCGCTGGGATGGGTAAGGATCAACATGGGGGGGCTGGAGCTGGGGGGGATGATTTGACAGACAAGACAGGGGGGAAGAGAACCAGATAGACAGATACGAGGAGGAAAAAGAGGAGGTAGACAGATAGACAGATAGAGAGAGAGAGGGAGGGATGACTTGAAAGAAGATTAAGTTCTAATGATGGTTTTATCATAAGTCACGTACCGCACCTGCAGGAGGAGTAGGGAGGGTGGCCAGGGAGAGGTAATGCATTTGTGGACGTTATTGGTGGCAGCGGTGGGACAGGCAGGGAATCCAGGGGTGTAGGTCCATGGTTGAGGGCACGGGGAAGGGTGAGGGGACAGAGGGAAGCTTTACACACAAGGGTTGAGGGTGAATCAGATTTTTGCCGTGTGTGAGTATCGCCATATGGGGAGACCGTTTGAGAGGAGACGTAATGAGGCGTGGCGAGTGAGGGTGAATTATTAGCGTGGTCGGTGAGAGGGAGGGTGAGAGGGAAGGTGAGAGGGAGGGTGAGAGGGGAGGTGTGATGTTTAACGATGTTCAGTCTGTATTGCCTCTTGGTGTGTGTGTGTTACTGTACATATTTTTATTTACACTGTGTTGGTGTACAGAGGCCTCCACTACGCACATATAGTACATACTTACAGACGTGTACACATGGTTTATAGCCCGGCCACACACACACGTGACTGTCTGGCGGTGAAGTCAGTTGTTGGATGAGCTTTGAATACTTTGTTGTGTTGAGGTCAGGGGGAGCATGATGAATATATGGGGTGTACCTCCTCTTTCTCCCCCTCTCCTCCGTTCTCCCCTCTCCCCTTTCCCGCTTCTTCTCTCCCATACCCCCCCCCTCTCCCATACCTCCCCTTTCCTCTCCCCGTCTCCCCTTTCCTCTCCCGTCTCCCCTTTCTTCTCTCCATTTCCCTTTCCCTCTCCCCGTCTCCCCTTTCCTCTCCCCGTCTCCCTTTCTCCCTCCCCGTCTCCCCTTTCCTCTCCCCGTCTCCCCTTTCCTCTCCCCGTCTCCCCTCTCCCCGTCTCCCCTTTCCTCTCCCCGTCTCCCCTTTCTCTCCCGTCCCCCCTTCTCCATCTCCCCTTTCTCTCCCCATCTCCCTTTCCTCTCCCCATCTCCCCTTTCCTCTCCCCTTGGTACCAATGAATAATTTCCCCCACAGTCGCCGCGTGTAATAGTTAGAATACGTTTCCCCTCTCTGGCTCCCTCTCCTCGCCTGCGTTAATATTTCCCGGTTCATTCATCGACCCGTGTCCCCTTTCTTGTTTCCTCCCCTTTATAGACTGTAATCAATTCTCCCCTCTCCCTCTCCTCTCTCCTTCCCCTCCCCTCACACCCACCCTGTGTTCTTGCTGTCTCTTCTTCCCTCTCCTCCCCCTCCATCTTTTACTCTCCCTTTCTTACCCTCCCTCCCCTCTCCCCTCCTCCCCACTGATTTTCCCTCATCTTATTCATGCAGTGATCGATCTGGGTGTCCACTTTACCCTCACTTGTGACTTTAACTCGTAACTCCTCCCTCACTTCTTCCCCCTCACTTCTCCTCCTCACTTCTCCCTCCTCCTCACTTCCCTCTTGCCTCGCCTCCCTCTTCTGGTTCCCTTTTTATAGCCGCCTCGTATATTACACAGGCCTTAATCAATTGTCGCGGTTATTAGGAGGCTTAGAGAGAGAGAGAGAGAGAGAGAGAGAGAGAGAGAGAGAGGAAAAGAGGGAGAGAGAGAGACTGTCACCTCCAACAATGTAAGTGGTTAAGCATTTTAAACAAATTTGCTTCAGTTTACAGTCTAGTGGGGGAACATTTATACTGAACTGAGGGCGCTTCTCTCTCCACGAATAATTGTCCTACCTTTGTCCTTCTTTCTCCTTTCCCTAACCCCATTTTCTTTTTCGTCCCTTCCCTTCCCCATTCTCTCCCCCTCTCTCCATACTCGACAAAAAGGAGAGTTTTCCCGGGTACGCGTGGAGTATATTTCGGCTTCACTTTTAAAACAAACACACACACACACACACACACACACACACACACACACACACACACACACACACAGAGTGAAATTCATTTTGTGTTTTGAAAATATATATATATATATATATATGTTTATTTGTAGTTGCATTTGACCCTTTGTGTGTGTGGGGTGATATATTAAGAGTGGTGTGTGTGTGTGTGTGTGTGTGTGTGTGTGTGTGTGTGTGTGTGTGTGTGTGAGAGAGAGGCCAGGCAGGGCAGTATGTCAACAAGAGGGTCAGCACCCCTCATACACGCTCACCACTCCACCCTCTCATGTGAGCTTTACCACGCCTCTGTTATTGGTGTGTGTGTGCGTCGCTCTTCCCTCAATTGGTATGTTGCGTCCATGTTATGTGTGTGTGTGTGTGTGTGTGTGTGTGCGCGCTACTAAAACTTAATAGGTGAGGTTAGGTGACATTCCACTTTATGTGAGTTTAATGGTGGGTTAATATATTCGTTTATAACCTCCCGTGTGTGTGTGTCGAGTTGTTGTGTTGGTTGGTGTAATTAGCGTGTTTTTCCCGGGGGTCAGGAGGTCAGTGGTTGTGGCCACGTTACCTGTCCAGGTGTTTATCTCTCACCTGTGGTTGGTGGGGGGTAGTCTCAGATGGAGGTAAATAATGTTATCTTGGTGTTGGCTGCCAAATGAAAGTATTAATTAATGTATGGGCTACCTGTTGATTAGTTTGTGTCAACTGGTTATATGAATCTTGTTTACTATAGTAGTGTTGTGTACTGTGGATGACTAACGGACGTGTTTTTGTTTTGTCTTTTTGTTTACAGCGGAATAGTAGTTCCCCGGGGGAAGTCGGCCGCGTTCCCGAACCCCGGACGACCACGATGCCAAGCGCCGGAAGGAGGCAGAACTTTGGTCGGGAAGGTGGTCAAGACCTTGTGGACGTGGCTAATGAGGTGGGTCTTGTGCTTCAACTCTCCTTCTCCCTTCTCCCCTCTCTCCTTATTCCCGTTTCATTCAGCCATTTTTCTCCTCCATTCTTCTCTCAACCCCCCCATCTATCCCACCATCACCTTGCCGCCGGCCCTCTCCTCCCCATCTATCCCTCCATCATCATTCTTCCCCCCCATCTTCCTCCATCATCCCCCCTGCCTTGTTCAGTCGTGTATATAAATTTTTCCCGTGGTGATTGTCATTGTAGAGCCATCTTGTGTGTCAGGGGTGGGAATGTCAGTGACTCTACCAGTTGTGTTACCGGTATGTGTGCAGTGCCTCCCCCCTCCCCCTTGTTACTGAGTGGAGGGAGGATGGTGTCCTCGTGTAGGTTAACTGTAACTGTTCACCTGTCTAGTTCTTCCGTCAGTTACCTTTATAGGGGACAGTTGAAGGAGTTATTGAAGACTTACCATCGTATTTAGAAGTTATATTACTGTTATCTTCATGTGTAGGTGTTGGAGAATATCTTTTTAAGAGGCGTTTGAGGTTAGGTTAGACTTGTGTTATGTACAGTACTTTGGTGTAATAATACGTCTCCTCCTTGTGTCTCCTGCAGGACCCCAACACTCCGCCACAAGCCAACGGGGACCACCGGGATGTGCGAGAGAACGGCGAGAAGAAACCGGACTGCCGCCTTCTCAATCCTCCTCCTCCCGCTCCACGCCTCAGCTTAAACACGAGAAGGTACGTTCCCTTGGCCACTCCTTCCTACACCTCCACCTCTTGCTGCTTCCTCGTGTTGCCTCACCCACACTGCCGCTCCTCCTGCTGGTGTTAGTTTTACTTATTACCTCGCTCCTCACGCACGTTTGCACACACGCTTGCTTCTTTATGGGAATGGTACCTACCCAAGCCTGTGTGTGTGTGTGTGTGTGTGTGTGTGTGTGTGTGTGAATATACCTTACATGCTTATAAACTTAACACACAGGTTAATCTTAGTACCATATGATGTTTTAGTGTTAAAGGTTTCTCTTGTGTGGTGATCTACAGGTGTGTGAGGTAGAGGTGTAGTGATTATGTAGTGGGTGGTGATACGCAATGTAAGTGTGTAATAATATGTACTAGATGCACCTAAGGCCTTCGGTAACACACACACACACACACACACACATACATACACACACGTACACACCGCTCCCTAACATCCCACGTGGTCAGTCGATGCAATTTGGTGTGTGTGTGTGTGTGTGTGTGTGTGTGTGTGTGTGTGTGTGTGTGTGTGTGTGTGTGATAGTCAGCCACCTAAAGACGCAATGCTCCTCAAAGTTTATCTCATTTCTTCACCGCATTGTTTATTTACACAGGTGAAATTGAAACCGTTTATTTACCTGGAGAAAAAATAATATTAAAAACGATAACGAAGTGAGTAAACAATATTTTGCCATAAACAACAACAATATTTTGCCATAAACAACAGCAGTCTTCCCATCAACATCCAGCGCCTCAGGCTAATTAGAATTCTATTTACCTGTACTGTACCTTACGTTCCTCGCCAGGTGAACACTATACAGTTTATCATAGTGGCAGGAAACGGCCTTCTCTTACCTCACTACACCAAAGCACTACACTATACTACACCATACACTACACTACACCATACACTACACTACACCATACACTACACCTCTAGTTGCGTCAAATATATATATGTATCCCTGTACCGGTAACCTACTGCTCGAGCCGACAGTTGGTCAAGCCTTAACCCCTCACAGCTCCCTCACACAACCTCCCTACTCTCTCCCTACCCTCCCTACCTTCTCCCTTCCCTTCCTCTCCACCTCCTGGTTTCCTTTGATACACCCTTCCAACACTCCCCCGCCTCCCCCCATTACACACACACACACACACACACACTCTCTCTCTTCTTGCTACACCTACACTATTTTCTTGCTACACCTCACCATCACGACTACTACACCTCACCATCACGACTACTACTACTACTACAGGCACTTAGTAGGTTTCGTCATTATGTTGGTATTGTATAAAACTGGGAGGGGGGGGGGGCAGTAACCACCTTTGCTCAACACCTGCTGCTTAACAACACCTACACTCACCCACGAACCACCACCCACTTCCCGTCACCCAACACCTGTCCACCTGTCTGCCTCTGTCCGACCCCCTACTACCACCACAGTTACCGCCATCCATCCTTGTCACCCAAAACCTACCACACACCACCCACTTCACACACCACCTACATCCACTTCACACCACCCACCCACACATATCCACATCTACCACACACACATCCACTACCCACATCTATCCACATATATCTAGACCGTCACCCACAAAGCTGGTTAGAACTGCACACAATTTAGTGGTTTGGAGACGAGAGAAGAGAGAGGTCTGTCTGTGTCTGTGTGTGTCAGTCAAGGAGTTAAGCTGTGTCACCTAAACTACCACACCACACTACTGTAAGCAGCAACCACTCATTGTCTGGTCTAAACTTGTTGAATAATGGTTACTCACCCCACGACCTGACCAACCATGGGGAAGGGGGTTAAACTGATGGTATTAACCCTATTTAAAGACTTTCCTTTTATCACTGCATCGTTCCCTAGTAAAAACAAAATAGCAGCAGGGTTTAAAATGACAATAGTGGGAGTAGTAGTGCTAGTAAGTTATGCTATTAGTAAGCTTCTGCTATTTATAAGACCACACACTGTTGAGTTGTAGACATCAATGGTAGAATGTTGGTGGTGGGAGAATGTTATTGGCACCTGCAGTTGTTCTCTTCACTACAGTAGTAACTCCTCCCGCACGCCCACGCCGCCCACCCACCCACCCATCCGCTTCTATTGTAGATTAAGTCGCTTGGTGGTTCATGGTGAGGGGGGTTTTTGGAAGGTGTCCGCCCCCCCCCCCCTCGCTTGTGAGTGAGGAGGGCGGGGCAGGGAGAGGTGGGGTGGGTAGGAGTATTGTTTGTATTATTATGAGTTAGGAGAGAGAAATTGATGGGGGGGTGAGGGGGTGTGGCTGGCTAGACTAGGGGGTGGGTAGAGGATAGTAAGGTTGGGGACGAGAATAAGGAGGAAGAGAGTTTAGGCAGAAGACTTTGGAGGAATTGAGAATGAAGGGTGGAGGTGGGAGGTGGAGGGAGGGAGGGGTGGGAGGGAGGAGGGGGAGGTGGAGGTAGGGAGTATGGGAGGTGGAGGGAGGGAGGGGAGTAGGAGGTGGGAGGGAGGGAGGGAGGTGGAGGGAGGGAGGGAGGGAGGGGTGGGTGGAGGTAGGGGAGTATGGGAGGTGGAGGGAGGGAGTATGGGAGGGAGGTAGGGGAGTGTGGGAGGGTGGAGGTAGGGGAGGTGGGGAGGTGGGAGGGAGGGAGGGAAGGTGGAGGTAGGGAGGGAGGTGGAGGGAGGGAGGAGGGAGGTGGAGGAGGGGAGGTGTGGGAGCCGGCAGTCATTAGTTACCCAAGAGGACACCCATCCTCGCATCTTTACTCAAGAATAACTAACTCAATATATTTTTCATCCTGGGGCACACTACAATACCCGGTGTGTTGTGTGTGGATCATTCTCAAGTGATTAACGACCTTACACGTCATGGTAGTTAGCGTGGAAATAACTAAGATGAACTAGGTGGTGGGTGTTACTGCCGGCTGGTGAGGAGGACGAGAGACAGCCTGATGAGATACCCACCCAGCCAGACAACCTCCCTTATCAGTGAGGGTAGTTGAGGGGGGGGGGGCACCTTGATGGTAGTGCCTGTCATGCCCCGACTCGACCCACCTCTTCTTCCATCACTCACCAATAATCTTATCTGTTTGATGGGGAAAAAAACACACACACACAAAAGTCTCGTTTATTGTTTACTTTTGGCCTTTGTGTGTTTTACAGCCTTATCATTTTCTGTATTAGGACTGAGGGCTGTGTTGGGGGCTGGTGAGGGCTGGGTGTGAGGGCTGGGCGGGTGTAGGTAGAGAGCATCTCGCTGGGGCACTTGTATAGTTTTACCGTCGGCATTTAAATTCCTTGTCTCATTATGCCTGCCTGCCCCCCCCACCACACTGTCTTGTACTCCTCACCTCACCCAGATGTTTGGTTGGTCCTTGTAACAGTGTGACCTGCATGGTGTGTTACAAACTTATCGCTGGACTTGTCTTGATTGATCTTAACCACCCAAACATTATACTGTATAAGCTAGAGATATGGTGAATAATGTTGTGTGTGTGTTTGTGTAGACCTCGTGCGTGAGGGAATCAGGTGCCCACCGCTGAGTGTCGATGTTTATTTTTTTTTTCTCTGCCTGTGTTGTTGTGGATCCGCCCCTCATTTTGTTTTGTTTGTTTTTGTTCTGTGTTTTGCAGGGTGACCCTCGTTCCACCCCCACGTCCAAGTCTGGTGGGGGGAGCGGCGCCCCCTCCGCGCCCCCTGGCTCCTCCGGTGTGAAGCCCCCCGGGGTCCTCCCTGGGGGTGCCGGGCCGTCCCCTCACTTTCCCCCTTCCCCCTACCTGCCCCCCGGCGCTGCTGGGCCCCGACCTGACCTGCCCCCGGGCCCGCCCCGTCCTGACCTCCCGCCCTCTGCCGCCTACCCCCCAGGACACGCTAACAACTACCTCCGGCCGCCGGTAAGTGTAGCACACCCTCGCCCAGACCCCCGCCACTTGTTCACACCTACACCCACAATAGCCTCTGTTGCCGTACCTTCCCTCGTCTCTATAGTGGCCATAAGAAGCACCTCCTCACCTGCACAGCTTATACTCTATATTTTAGCTTCTTGCTTGTTTTGTATACTGCACCACTAACTGCTTGTGTGATAGTACAGTGTGTGTGTATGTTAGTTGTGTCCACTCCCTAGTTGGTAGTGAGTGACAATGCTACATTGGTCTCCCCGCAGGTCACTGGCTACGACCCCCACAGCGGTGTCAGGGTTCCGCCGCTCGCCTCCAATGGCATTCCCACTAATGGTTCTGCTGGCAAGCCGTAAGTATTTCTGCTCCTCAAGTGCATGACCCTATATTGATGTGTAAACAGTTTATTCCGTCAGAAAAATAGATAGTGGACAATAATAACAATATTAACGTGGCTGAGACAATTGAGAGCCTCAACTCTCTTAGTGGCACCTGATATATACTGTCCATACAATTATGTCACGTTAATACTTTTTTCCGTTTATCTAGGGCCTACAGCTTTCATGTAAACGGCGAGGGTCAGCTAGCGCCGGTGCCGTTCCCCTCGGATGCGTTGCTGGCGCCGGGGATCCCGCGGCACGCGCGACAGATCAACACGCTGCACCACGGCGAGGTGGTGTGTGCCGTCACCATCAGCAACCCCACCAAGTACGTCTACACGGGTGGCAAGGGCTGTGTCAAGGTGTGGGACATCAGCCAGCCTGGGTCTAAGTCCCCCGTTTCCCAACTAGACTGCTTACAGCGAGACAACTATATCCGATCTGTCAAACTTCTGCCGGACATGCGCACCCTTATTGTGGGCGGGGAGGCGTCCACCCTTAGCATTTGGGATCTGGCTACACCTACTCCCAGGATCAAGGCTGAGTTGATATCTTCTGCGCCAGCGTGTTACGCCCTAGCCATAAGCCCGGACTCAAAGGTGTGCTTCAGCTGTTGCAGTGATGGCAACATTGCCGTGTGGGACCTGCACAACCAGACTCTGGTGCGACAGTTCCAGGGACACACCGACGGCGCCTCCTGCATCGACATCTCTCCCGACGGCACCAAGTTGTGGACGGGCGGCCTCGACAACACCGTCAGGTCATGGGACCTACGCGAGGGTCGTCAGCTGCAACAACACGACTTCACGAGTCAGATCTTCTCGCTGGGTTACTGCCCCACCGGGGAGTGGCTCGCCGTGGGTATGGAGAGCTCCAACGTGGAAGTTCTGCACGTCAACAAACCAGACAAGTATCAGCTCCACCTGCACGAGTCTTGTGTTCTCTCCCTCAAGTTTGCCAACGCGGGGAAGTGGTTCGTGTCTACTGGCAAGGACAACTTGCTCAACGCCTGGCGCACACCTTACGGCGCCTCCATCTTCCAGGTAATTCATCACCATGTTGTAGCAATAGCCTCTCTACCTTTCAACATGTATATATAAACTTGTACTCTCACTTATCATGATGCCACTGACTTAATACATCAGTAAACGTTCAACAGAAGCGGCTTCCTCTCCCCAGTAATAGGTCCTGTAATATAAGTACACATTAACACAGGTGGTCTCCCTACACCACTACACAGTAAGATAACACAGTAAGGTAACACACGTAACACAGGTCTCCTTCCCTACACCACTACACAGTAAGATAACACACGTAACACAGTAAGGTAGCACACGTAACACAGTAAGGTAACACAGGTAACACACGTAACATTAAGGTAACACACGTAACACAGTAAGGTAACACACGTAACACAGTAAGGTAGCACACGTAACACAGTAAGGTAACACAGGTAACACACGTAACATTAAGGTAACACACGTAACACAGTAAGGTAACACACGTAAGACAGTAAGGTAACACAGGTAACACAGTAAGGTAACACAGGTAACACAGTAAGGTAATACACCATAACACAGGTCTCCTTCCCTACACCACTACACAGTAAAGTAACACACGTAACACAGTAAGGTAACACACGTTACACAGTAAGGTAACACACCATAACACAGGTCTCCTTCCCTACACCACTACACAGTAAAGTAACACATAACACAGTGGTAACAAGTAACACACGTAACAGTAAGTAACACACGTTACACAGTAAGGTAACACACCATAACAGGTCTCTCCTTCCTACACCACTACAGTAAAGTAACACACGTAACACAGTAAGGTAAACAGGTAACACACGTAACAGTAAGGTAACACACGTTACACAGTAAGGTAACACACCATAACACAGGTCTTCCCTACACCACTACACAGTAAGTAACACGTAACACAGTAAGGTAAACACAGGTAAACACACGTAACAGTAAGTAACACGTTACACAGTAAGGTAAACACACCATAACATGTCTCCTTCCCTACACCACTACACAGTAAAGTAACACACGTACACAGTAAGGTAACACAGGTAACTGCACAGTAAGGTACACACGTTACACAGTAAGGTAACACACGTTAACACAGTAAGGTAACACACATGCACACAGTAAGGTAACACACGTAACACAAGGTAACACGTAACACAGTAAGGATACAAGTAACACAGTAAGGTAAACACAGTAAGGTAAACACACACGTAACACAGTAAGGTAACAATGTAACACAGTAAGGATACACGTAACACAGTAACACACGTAAGGTAACACGTAACACAGGTAACATGTAACAGTAAGGTAACACACAGTAAGGTAACATAACACAGTAAGGGTAACACAGTGGAGTAACGTAACACAGTAAGGTAAAATTAACAAGTAACACAGTAACACACGTAACACAGTAACAAGGTAACACACACAGGTAACACAGTAAGGTAACACGTAAAACAGTAAGTAACACAGTAAGGTACAGGTAACACAGTAAGGTAACACGTAAAACAGTAAGGGTAACACAGTAAGGTAACATAACACAGTAAGGTAACAAGTAACACAGTAAGGTAAACACACGTAACACAGTAAGTAAACACGTAACACAAGGTAACACAGTAAATGAGTAAACACGTAACACAGTAAGGTAAACACGTAACACAGTAAGATAACACACGTAACACAGTAAGGTAACACACGTAACACAGTAAGGTAACACAGTAACACACGTAACACAGTAAGGTAACACAGGTAACACACGTAACACAGTAAGGTAACACAGGTAACACACGTAACACAGTAAGGTAACACACGTAACACAGTAAGGTAACACACGTAACACAGTAAGGTAACACGTAACACAGTAAGGTAACACACGTAACACAGTTAGGTAACACACGTAACACAGTAAGGTAACACGTAACACAGTAAGGTAACACACCATAACACATGTGGTCTTCTTCCCAACAGTCGAAGGAGTCGTCGTCGGTGCTGAGCTGTGACATCTCTGCCGACGACAAGTACATCGTGACGGGTTCAGGGGACAAGAAGGCTACCGTCTACGAGGTCATCTACTAAAAATGGCAATGTCTTGAAATTGTTGAACTAACCCCACTATTCTGAGTGACAGTGTCAAGTGGTGTCATGAGCAAATGCTTGACAACTGACACCGAATTAGGACACACATGCATGTCAAGAGGATGTGTTGGGTAGCTGTGCAGGACATGGTGCGTGTACAGGTGCCGGGCGTGTCCCAAGTGATAAGCATCAATATTAATATGTATAAAAGGAAGCAAAGTATGCGATGAAAGAGCGAGTCAGGTGGTGGAAGAAACTGCCATTTGAGTTTGTGTTGCGGACAGGGGGGTAAGAAGTGGCTCGTGGCCGGATTAAGACCTCCTCCTTGGATAATGGCCAGCAGCAAAAACTTGGTCCGCCTCGAGTAGTGAGTGAGGCGTGATGGTGTTAGGGAGGTACTGTAGTGTGAAGTATAGCCGGACAGCCTCGGTGGATAATTTTAGTAGGTCTCTTAAGTCACCTATTTTAGTTGTCCTTGTCCGTTTTAGAGCCATTTTAGGTTCTATAGTTAATTTGTCTCGATTAATAAGAGATATCCTGTGTAAAGTATTATTCCCAAGGTCTTGCTCATAAAAAGGCAGCGGATAGTTGCCGATTCATAACTTGACCGAGGCTGTGAGAATCCTGAAGGTCGCGTTTTTAACTCTTTCCACTCGTAACTTTGGCTGTCCTGTTGGTCATAGTAGCCAGCTCTCTCTCTCTCTCCTCCTTCTCTTGTTGGCGGGCGACTAACGTTCTCTCCCGTGGGCCGTGTTTACTAATACTGTCTTGGACTTACTGGATACTGAATACTATAAATCTATATTGATCTTTGGAACATTAGAGAAATAATTAAATCACTATGACGGGGGGTATGGCGGCATCTTTAAGTGGGTAACGTGGTTCTTTTTACGGTCCAGGGATATAAATTATGTTGCTGGAGATATTTCCTTGTAAGATGGCATGATGAGAAAGATTAAGATATATATTTTCGTACATTGGGATAAAAATAAGTAAATCGCCCAAATTTTACCTCTTGTAACACTTCCAGGTATCCTTATCTCCTCTTATCTCCTGTTCCTCTTTATCAATGTCTCTTCTTTATCTTGTCATCTTGCTACGTCGTTAGTCTCCCCCCCCCCCTACAGTAGTTAATGGGGAGAGGGTGTACACTTACTGTCATTAGTTAACTCAAACGAAGGTCCAAGTCCCCTAAAGAAGGTGTAATTTGAATGGTCAGTTACCCAGTCAAAGTAAAATTATGATAATTTATTGGTCACTTGTGTAACATGAGGGCCGGGTGAGAGAGAGAGACTGCTCGTTGGCCTGGTGTGGCCCGGGTGAGAGAGAGACTGCTCGTTGGCCTGGTGTGGCCCGGGTGAGAGAGAGACTGCTCGTTGGCTTGGTGTGGCCCGGGTGAGAGAGGTGGCCCCCTGAGACACAGCTGCGACACGCGTCCCTCACTTGTGCTTCGGAAATATTATTATTCCAGTATTTTTTCTTGTGGTGCTGTTTTAACATACAAAGGAGACTCAGTAATTCCGTAAACCATCAAGTTGTTTTTTGTGGTTAGTGGTGTTGACCCGGCCGGGCCGTGGCCTTTATTGTCAGCTAGGAGCTTGATGCTCGCGCCTTTACACCACCAGTTAAGTTGCATAATGGTACTATAAATGTCTTGTCGTGTTAATATGCCTGAGTAACTTTACACTGGTTGTTGGCCTGACACCACAATAGGAATGACTGCCGGTTATATACTTTTATTTCAAGTTTTCCTTCCGTTTTGGGGCAGCACGATTAACAAGTCATCTGTGGAAGATCAACCTGATCTCTCTGAGATGTGGCGAGGAGCAAGGAACCATATGTGAATTATGAACAGTATTAAGGTCGTCACTCGGCCAGAGTTGCTGTCACTGGGTGTTGCCTCAGCGTAAGCTCCTTAACACGTACAAAGGAATGGATGCAGGTAATGCGCACTGAGGCGTCTGGGAGGTTAGGTGTTGTGTATTCCTGGTCAGGCAGATGATTTTTTTCATTACTATTGTGAAAACTTTGACGTGATAGAGATACTCGCTGCTATGCCTTAACAGAAAAGTGCAAGAAAAGTTTGGTTTAGTATTATGTGCAGTGCAGTATGTAGCGTGTCGGAGCTGGCAGTGAAGCTGATTACAGCCCCTCGGTCAACACTACCACACCTAACACCTGGCGCACGTTGTCATGTACAGACCTTGCAAATGTTTTTATTAAACGAGAAATTGTTCTTTTAATTTTGTGGGGGGGCAAGGAATTTAAAGCCGTAATTTATGATGTTGTCAGACGGCGCCTGTAGTTGGGTGTTGTGGTGTAGGTGAGGCTGGGTGTTGTGGTTGGCTGGTCAAGAGTGGGGATTAATGTTGTTTAACACGAGAAATATCATAAAGTACAAAGCATGGTTATGTTTAGTGGATGCCTGAAGTACTAAGGAAGATAATGGTTTACTAGGCGTCACTGTTCTGTGTAGCGTTGTATAGAGTTGTCTTGAGTATACAGTATTATATTATGGTTTAGTGTAACAAATTGAGAATGTTGGGAGTTTTGAACACAGCCGAGAAGCAACAAGTGTTTGGTTATTGTAATCGTTTGTTTATGTCAAGACGAGTGAAGTGTTCAGTATTTGTTGCAGGGAGGCCGGCCGCCGTATGATGAGCTCACAACTAGGACAGATGTGAAGAAAGCCCCCACCTGTTGCTCTCCCCACATGTTCAATGTAGTGTGGGGAAAGTGGCGTGTGGGTGTTAGACTCTCAAAGTACATGTGGCGTTGTGTGTGGGCGTTAAGGGTGCTTGACCTCCGCTTCACACCAACGTTACCCGAACAGTGTTTTACAAGTTTCCTTGATGTGAGTTTGCCATACAGCAATATCTTTTTTTTTTACTGGTCTATAAATTTTAAATTGCACAACTGGTTAAAATTATACAAGTTTGAGCTCTCACTACTGCTGGTGAGGGTGACAGCCTGGGCGGGGCGGGGCGCGTCTCGTGTACCTGGCCAGAACACTTATTTTTATTATCACGTGTTATATACGTAACTACTGAGACTTCCGCCAGCTACACGAGACGTCCCCCACGCGACTCGGGGCTTCTTGCAGGATATTAATGAAGTCATCCTCAGCGGGAATTATTGGCTGTTTGTTTTAAGAAATCGTTAACATTTCCCCCCCAAATAGTCTTTCTCACCGAGACGGACTTATGTTTACCTCCGCCTAAGTATGTCTCATCATCAAGACATGTTGACTAGTATCTCTGTAAGGTCTTTATAACGATGACAGACATTTCCATGAGCATAAGGACACTTCAGTCCTTGTAAGGTGTTCCGGGTGTAGCGTGCCTCGCTTAATACATCTCTACTGTACATTATAACGTTGTCTTGGGCCAGTGTTCTATAACAGGTGTTAATAAAACAAAACGTGGAATTTAAAATCATGCAGAAATATGCCGCTTGAGAAAATGTGTAGGAAGCTGTGGTGGGTGGTAAGTGGACGTACATTGTGATAACCGATGGCCGCCTGGAGGTGGAGGCGCCGTGGCCCGCTGCCCGTGATACTTGTAAAGCTGATCAGGTCGGGCCAGGTCAGGTGGACACGTTGACCTCACGACAGTTACCATATACTTAACACCTCCTTGTTGCGAGGAACCTTGTAGCATAGGTTGGATCTACAAAACGGGTATATAAATAAACGGTAGTATTTCTCCAATGGAATTCCTCATAGACTCAGATGCACACATTTTTGCGGCACTGCGAGTAAGAATGGCCCACAAAACGCTACCTCAGGTTTAAGAGAATGAGCCGAGTGGAGGTATGGTTTAATGGTCATTTTGTCTTGCCGTGGCGGTTATCTTTGAGGCATTATGTAGGTAAACCTTAAAACTCCAGGCTGTAGACAGCTTCAGGTAAAGTGTCTTGGCAGGAACACACTTCAACTTATTCCCCATGACCATTTAGTTTATAACTGATCTTATTTTAAAACCAATTGACCATTTTTCAGCAGAAACCTGATCTCTTCAATTTTATAATAATCCTTTTTGTAATAGTTGAAACAAAATAATTAAGATGTAGTTATTTTATTTGTGTATTTTTGTGAGGTGTTGAGTTGTGGGGTTCATGTGTGACGTGGCTGGTGGTCCCTGGTAAGCCTTGTTCTCCAGGGACCCTTGTCTGTGATGGCCTCTTCACCCTGATGGCGGCGAGACTGTACACGTAACATTGTCGTGTTGGTGTTTGTTTACTACAGCTGTGGGCCCAGGCTGGGGCATTAAAACAAGAGGTCTCTGCCCAAACACACGAGGGGTCTTTTTCTTCTATATTAGAAGAATCATCATCCACGGGGCATAGTTCTCATGTTGACTGAGTACTGTTATGTACAGGTGTAATGAAGCACCAATTGGTCTTATTTGTAATTGCAAAACTACATTGCATAGTAGGAAGCCAAGAATTGTTGTGGTTTGCTTGTTGCCGTAACAGGCCCAGCTGTGTACACAACACATACACCAACAAGAGTCTCGCAGAAGTGTACAATTAGTGAATGTATTATGCCCTTTTCTCAACAATGAATAGTGCAACACCAATGTGTAAGAGATTTGCAATAAAACATAAAAGACATTAACAACTTTATTAACCTTCAATCACTGTATTTATGTTCATAATATCCCTGCGCTCCATCTCCTCCTCCATTACATCTGCCTGGCAGACAGTGAGGCCGTGGCAGCGGTGAACGAGGTGGGTGGTAAAGCCTGCCTGTCGTGCTTGGTAGGAGCCACCCACAGTGTCCTCAACACCCGGGAGGTGAACATGATGATGGTGGCCACACACTTGGCCTTCACCACACCATCTGTTCAGGTAAGTCTTGGGTGTGTCAGGTGACCAAGGTGTTAGTCTTGGGTGTGTCAGGTGACCAGGGTGTTAGTCTTGGCTGTGTCAGGTGACCAGGGTGTTAGTCTTGGCTGTGTCAGGTGACCAAGGTGTTAGTCTTGGCTGTGTCAGGTGACCAGGGTGTTAGTCTTGGCTGTGTCAGGTGACCAGGGTGTTAGTCTTGGCTGTGTCAGGTGACCAGGGTGTTAGTCTTGGCTGTGTCAGGTGACCAGGGTGTTAGTCTTGGCTGTGTCAGGTGACCAGGGGTGTTAGTCTTGGCTGTGTCAGGTGACCAGGGTGGGCTGTGTCAGGTGACCAGGGTGTTAGTCTTGGCTGTGTCAGGTGACCAGGGTGTTAGTCTTGCTGTCAGGTGACCAGGGTGTTAGTCTTGGCTGTGTCAGGTGACCAGGGTGTTAGTCTTGGCTGTGTCAGGTGACCAAGGTGTTAGTCTTGGCTGTGTCAGGTGACCAGGGTGTTAGTCTTGGCTGTGTCAGGTGACCAGGGTGTTAGTCTTGGCTGTGTCAGGTGACCAGGGTGTTAGTCTTGGCTGTGTCAGGTGACCAGGGTGTTAGTCTTGGCTGTGTCAGGTGACCAAGGTGTTAGTCTTGGCTGTGTCAGGTGACCAGGGTGTTAGTCTTGGCTGTGTCAGGTGACCAGGGTGTTAGTCTTGGCTGTGTCAGGTGACCAGGGTGTTAGTCTTGGCTGTGTCAGGTGACCAGGGTGTTAGTAGGTGAGGTACTAGGTGACAAGTCTTAAACCAGGGTGTTAGTCTTGGCTGTGTCAAGGTGACCAAGGTGTTAGACAATGTTAGAGGTGACCAGGGTGTTAGTCTTGGCTGTGTCAGGTGACCAAGGTGTTAGTCTTGGCTGTGTCAGGTGACCAGGGTGTTAGTCTTGGCTGTGTCAGGTGACCAGCCGATAAAACGGCTTTGATGGTAAAATAAAAGCAGGTACTGTAAATATAGTAGGTAATACAAGAAATATTAATACTTAGACAATAGATATTTTTTAAGCGATGATTTAAAGGAAGGGAGGTTTTCATCCACGGCTTAAGTAGTTTTAATAATTAATTTCTTTGTTGAGTACTGTATGTGTAAGCAATAGTTTGGGTCACTTTAGTAATGTGGTGACCAAAGAAGAAGACAAAAGGATGTTGTGTACAAGTTATGTCTATATTTGTTACCTGAGTTAAGTTAGCCTCGTCATAATTTATATAACAGAGCCACTATTCTCATGTACAATAAAATGAATTACAAATGCAAGTGTATAAATAACGCAACTGTTATCAATGTTTTATGTTGATTCATTCACAAGAAAATTTTATACTTCAAATAATCTTAAAATGTTTGGCCAGGTCACAAATAATGAAGCAAGCAGATAATATCTCAGTGTTCAATAAAGAACCGTTAAGGCGTCATCAATTCCCTCTCTCTGTCGTGAGTAAAATATTCATCGTGTCTCCGTTATACAGTGAACCATGAATAACAACATAACTATCATATATTTTACTTTTGCTTAAGTTATTGTATGTTATCCCTATTGCCTAGTTATCACCGTTTGTCTCAGTCTTCCCAACATACTCAGAAGTACATAATACAATACAGTATTGAGATTTGGGAACAAAATCGGCGTGATAAGAAATTTAATGTCAAACTATTCACCAAAAAGTGACCCTGACTACCAAAGGCGGCGACTGATTAGCGTTAGAAAATAATGAGCCAATAAAAGTAAAATTATTGAGATGTTATTTGGGATAAGTAATTATACAGATATCCAATTATTGATAAGATTAGATCTTTATTATGGTCAGAAGGTAAATTTGTCAAGGTGCTGTGCTGGGTGAGGACTGTCGTTGATTCACAAGCCACTGTAACTCTGGACTGTAATAACCAGTTGTTGGCAGTCTTCTTCTGGTTATTTACTCTGCTCACAACTTTAATCCATTAATGCCTATGTTAAGGTCTCAGATTCTTAACGCTTGGCTGTTCTCTTTTTTTGTCTGATTGTATCCACACCTCATAAACCTGTTGTCTCCACCAGTGAATATATTATATCAACGTTCCGATATAGAGTTCTACATTTCCCACAATATATCACAAATAATACGTAGAATTGAGAGAAAAAAATGGTAAAAATGCCAGTATTACCTCACCATTCCTTCCTTGTCCTGGGCGGCTAAGGGTGCTGAAATAAACGCATTCCCACACCGTCAACTTGTTCTTATTGAATCGTCATGAAGGGAAATATTACCCAAACCTCAAGTGTTCAATTTCTTTCTTTAAAAGTTATCATTTTGTCTCGTAATTTATATACATTTATGTTCTTCACCTACAAATGATGTAAATTATCATGTTAAATTGAAGATCTTCCTGGCGATGAAAGTATATGAAGTGGTGTGTGCGCGTGTGTGTATATATCGTTAACTTTACTTGGCGCTCTCTGGTAGCTTCGATAATGACTTAACAAGTGTGGTTATTTTCACGTGAGTCTTCCTGCCAGTTCAACGAGGGACGCGGCTTCTAACAACATGATTTCTTAGCGTACGTAACAAGGCCTCGACCATCTTGGGCTGTGAGGAACCAACACACCCCTTCAGTGCTGTGAGGAACCAACACACCCCTTCAGTGCTGTGAGGAACCAACACACCCCTTCAGTGCTGTGAGGAACCAACACACCCCTTCAGTGCTGTGAGGAACCAACACACCCCTTCAGTGCTGTGAGGGACCAACACAGTGCTTCAGTGCTGTGAGGGACCAGCACACCCCTTCCACACCCCTTCAGTGTGTAGCACCCCTTCAGTGAGACCAACACACCTTCAGTGCTGTGAGGAACCAGCACAGTGCTGTGAGGAACCAACACACCCTTCAGTGCTGTGAGGACCTTACACGCACTTCAGTGCTGTGAGGACCAGCACCCCTTCAGTGCTGGAGCCAGCACACCTTCAGTGCTGTGAGGACCCAGCACCCTTCAGTTCAGTGCTGTGAGCAACCAACACACCCCTTCAGTGCTGCTGAGACCAGCACACCCCTTCAGTGCTGTGAGGAACCTTTTACCCCTTCAGTGGCAGGAACCACCCCCCTTCCAGTGCTGTGAGGACCAGCACCCCTTCAGTGCTGTGAGGGACCAACACACCCCTTCAGTGCCAGAGAATGCCCCACCCCTTCCAGTGCTGTGAGGAACCAGCACACCTTCAGTGCTGTGAGGAACCAACACACCCCTTCAGTGCTGTGTGCTGTGAGAACCCTTTGCCCTTCAGTGCTGTGAACCAGCACACCCCTTCAGTGCTGTGAGAACCAGCACACCCCTTCAGTGCTGTGAGGGACACACACACCCTTCAGTGCTGTGAGGACCCAACACACCCCTTCAGTGCTGGGGACCTTTTACCCTTCAGTGCTGTGAGGGAACCAAGCACACCCCTTCAGTGCTGTGAGAACCAACACACCTTCAGTGCTGTGAGAACCACCAGCACACCCCTTCAGTGCTGTGAGGAACCAACACACCCCTTCAGTGCTGTGAGGAACCAACACACCCCTTCAGTGCTGTGAGGAACCAACACACCCCTTCAGTGCTGTGAGGAACCAACACACCCCTTCAGTGCTGTGAGGAACCAACACACCCCTTCAGTCAGGGTTTCTACTGGCCAAACAAAAAATTCCCTTACTATTCCAGGTGTAAATTAAAAAAATTCCAGGAACAATAATCCGGTTTTTATTACGACCGAATAACAAAATCAGAGGTTTTCAATTATGTGGGAAATTTAATGATATAAATGATATTAATGAAGACCCTCGTGATGAATCTCGGTAAACACCTCCTCCATATTTTTCTCCTCGGATTGGCGCAATTCACGTGGGTCGACCTGGACGTTCCAAAAAAGCCGGAAATCCGACGAAAACCGAAAAATCACACTCCTGATCCACCTATATGATTCGTGATAAATATGTGGAATAATCCACTTAAATAAAGTCACTTAATTATAAGAACAATTCATCTCTGACAATACTCATTACAGAATTAGTAGTAATAACCTGTAATATTTTGTTATTTGATCACTAACATAAATATGACAGGTTCTTATGTCAATTCAGTTATTGGAGTAGACTATTTACTGGAATTTGTTCGTAAAAGTTTAATTATTTACCTATTATACAGTACATCATTAATTTATGGTGAGATTGCTGTTAAAATAACTATTTTTAAGTTGAACTGAATTCAATAAAATTTCAAGCTTCTTTGTATAATTCCCTGACCTTTTCCAGGTTTTCCAGACCACTAGACCCCCTGTCAGAGCTGAGGGACCATTTCTGTATATTAATTATAATATAGTTTCTCGTATTTCTCTGTTACATAAATTTTAGAATGTAAATACAAACTACCGTGGTTCCTACACTGAGAACCTTGTCTCTTCTGATGATCACGTGATTCAGCTCATCCTTAACTCTCCAGCGAACAAGTGACGCCCTTAACAACCACTCTAATCCCCACACGTTGATTGGTCGCTCGTGTGTCAGGCGAGTCACTGCCACACCGACAAATTTACTGTTATGTTTTTCCTCCTGGTGTTAATTAGACTCAAATTCAGGTGAAAACTATTTTATATTGAAAAACAAAATATCGGTGATGAGGGTAAATAATGTATTCGCCAATATGGTTTCCTGACAGCGAATATTAATGAATTAACAAAGTTGACAGCAAATGGACGGAACATAGTCGAACCTGCCCGGACGATACAGGTGTGGTGCTGACAGGTAA